TCTTTCCCTTCTAGAACAAGGAAGGGGAGAGTTTTATAATACTTCCCCACACTTCTAGTAAAGAAATAAACAAATTATTTTAGTATTGCAAAGGCAAATGGTATCTCAAATTCCAAGAGCTCTTCATTTTGAACATTTTTTTGATAAACCCATAGCATCTTCTCACCACCAAGTTACTTCATCCCTAAATAACCTAAGAACTAGTAGATTTTGCTCTCTGCCCCACAGAAAACAAAGCAGTTGGGTTAGGGTGCAGCTGTGACTACAGAGGATATGAGATGACACTGTTACTGAAGCTTAAGACCAACCTTTAAAATAAGTATCATCTCTCAAAACAGCGATCTACTGATGTTATGTGTCATCATTCCAAGGCAAGTGAAAAGGCTTTCTAACTCTTACTGACTGGGGATTCAAAGCCACTGACTTTGTCTCTGACCTTTAACTCGATGGATTTTGAATCACTCCTTCTGTATTAGGGTGTATAGCATCACTCTTAAACATTGTGGTTAATGAAATAAATCTTGTACAGATTAAAGAGTTTTTCTACCTCTGGGTTGAATTTCACAGTTTCAAATATGCATAAGTCATTAAAGTGTAGAAATAACTTTAAAACGATTGAGATTGCATTCTCAATGTCAGTAACCATGATACAGCTTGGGTCATGTCACTTGCCAACACACACGTGTTGATAATCCACGTGGGTACTTACTATAGGAGCATCCATAGACCTCAACCCTCATGCCGATCTTTCCACTTGGATTCCACTCCAGGGGCACAAAGCGAACGAACCGGGCTCTCACAGAGTGCAGTAACTTGTGGTGCATCACACTGTCAGCGTTCATGTTTCCTGCAAAGGTCTGTGGGGAGAAAAGGAGGCCAGGTAAGGTCTGTGACACCATGGCAGAACCTTCACGTGAGCTCAAGGACCATATGTGGAAATCCACCTATGTCGCTCCATAAACTTTTAGAGAAAATCTTCAACTTCTCAGATCTTACAAATGAAATCTGACTCTGGTGAAAATTCTGCATTATGTCCTGTACAGTATTTTTTTTTCAGAGATACTGTACATTATTCTTTAAGAAACTCCCTCCTCCACATTTTATAAATAAGTCAATCTTAGTAAGTCATAAGACATGACATCTAAAAGCTATACGAAGTAAATAACACAGTGAAGTTCTGATACTCCTAATGTTCATAATCACTGCAGTATGGAAGATATCTGAAAAATCTCCTCTTAGAAGGAGAGGCTTTCACAGAAGTAATTGTTACCATTAATTGAAGCCAGTCACTACGCTAAGCACTTTCTATTATCATTATTACTATTTTACAGATTAAAAAGAAATCTGAAGCCTAGAGATAGAGAAAGGAGGAGGGAAAAAAATCTTCAAATCATCTAATTGGTTAGTAATTAGTCTATGATTCAATTCCAAAGTTGTCTTATTCCAAAGCCTATGGTTTTTCTACAGTCACACACTTTTCAACTATTCCATTGTTAATTGCTCCATGAGGGAGAACAGGAGGCTCTGGTTTTTATGTAATTTATATTCACATTTCCTTGTGAAGTTTAAGCAAAGGCATACACAGCATGGGAGATATTTGGCACATGAAAATTATGCCTCCTAGCCTTCATTTGGATGAATGATTTCTAGAATAGAACTTTTTCTGCAGATGGAATCCAAAGTCTCAAACCTAATCTTTTTTTCCCCCCACTGAGGTAAAATATGCATAAAATAAAATTTACCATTTTAACCATTTTAAAGTATATAGTTCAGTGGTATAAAGTACATTCACATTATTGTGCAACCATCACCACTATCCATCCCCAGAACTTTCTCATCAGCTCAACTGTACCTAATCTTTAAGGTAGGATGTGAGCTAGCACATTGGTTTGCCTGCTTCATTATGAATAAGCTATCATCTACCTTCTTTTCTGACTCAAATATTCACAGATAATGCCTGCATGCTAATGTCATATCAATACCAAACAATAAAAAGAAGATCCATTGGTTTCTCAAATGGCCAAAGAGAGCAAGTAACGGATGTATGTATGGAATGGAATCCATTTCAATGATCCAAATCTCAACCTTGAATATCTCCTCATAACACCTGTGAATCTAGGGTACTTTGAACAATCTGACATTTCTGCTGGACACAACACACCCACTGGCTAATAACTCTGATATTCTGCAATTAATAAAATCACTGTTTTATATCATATGGTGGCTTATGAAGAAGGGAGAAGCTTACTTTCTACTTTGCAGAAAAACTCTGGTGCAAGAGAATGACTTGGAGGAGAAGAATTTCTTGAGATTCAAATCCAACATTCTTGTCTGTAGGTTTGTCAAAGGTTTGGCCATTGTCTCAATCCAGAAAAGAATGGCTCTATTTTGCAGGTTTATCTTCCACATGTCTTGTTCCAATTTTAGCAACATGTGAAGATATAAAACCTCCTCAATCCCTTTCCCACCTAGGAAGGACTCTTCCCTGTAGAGTGTAGCTCTTTTCAAAATGTACTTCTTTAAAATATGAGTTTGGGTTGTGGCCAGAAGTTCTGGTAGTTTTTCACTCTTTTAGACACACTGAAGGTATTTCATGTTTTTTTACAGCCTAACTTGGGAGACTTCCGTTCAGTTCTCTGGATTCCCTGTTAATTGTGTTTGCTACAACCCACTCCCCAAGCATGTAAAGGCCCTGTGTTTGCAGCATCACTTATAGAAACTGAATTTTAAACAGACCTTTATTCACACTGAGGGTAATGGGGGCACCTGTCTTGGGTTCTATGTGATTTGTAGACTGAATATATCTTAAACTGATATTGAAATCCTGGTTGCATAATTCTAGATAAAAAGGCTTATTTGGGGAGCTGGAAATCCTTTGTAGGATTTCTTAACTCAGATTCTGTGTGCTCTGAAGAGGAAATCCTGGATTCTCATCCAAAGGGGCAGCAACCTGGCGTGACTTTGTAACACTGGACAAATGACTTATTCTTTCTGACTCTATCTTTCAATCTTGCAATCTCAACATCTCATAGTCTCAAAGTCCTACTATTCCAGAGTCATGTTATTTGCAGTTTTGTAGTCTCATAAGCTCACATTCAAGCAAACCCAAGGTCTCAAAGTTACGAGATTTCAAAGTGTGCGATGCATGGTCCCAGAGTCCTCCTGGAGCTAGTAGCCTAAAATCACCTCTGAAACACATAAAGCTAGAAGAAGATTGAATCTAAAGGATGCTGCAATGAAACTCTCACCAGGTTCGTCAGTTCATCTTCCTACAACATCAAAGACAATCATTGCTTAGCAATGCAAGAAGTTGTAGTCCAGAATGAAAAGCAAAGACAGACCTTACTCTCCAGATGCTTGGGTCCCAAGGCCCTGCTAGATACAGTAAAGCTACCACCAACTCAAAGTCAGCTCAACTGCCAAAGACAACAACTGAACAACAGTGTGAATGACAGATGACTTCTCATGGGGAACAACGGAGACCAACAAATGCTAAAAGTAGGAAACTCTCAACCTAGCACTCTACATCCAGCAAAAATGGCTTTCAAATTTGAAGGAAAAATAAGCACTGTTTCACTGAAACAAAAGCTGTGATAATTTATTACCTACAGACCTCCACTGTTAAGAATTGCTAAATAGGACTTCCTTGGTGGTGCAGTGGTTAAGAATCTGCCTGACAATGCAGGGGACACGGGTTCGAGTCCTGGTCTGGGAACATCCCACATTTTCGCCGCAGAGCAGCTAAGCCTGTGTGCCACAACTACTGAGCCTGCACTCTAGAGCCTGTGAGCCACGACTACTGAGCCTGAGCACTTAGAGCCCATGCTCTGCAACAAGAGAAGACATTGCAGTGAGAAACCTGTGCACCACAACAAAGAGTAGTCCCCACTCACCACAACTAGAGAAAGTCCACTTGCAGCAACAAAGACCAAACATAGCTAAAAATAAATAAAATAAAATTAATTAAATAAGTCTACAGTCTAAAGAAACTGGTTCCAGATGGAACATTCGTGTACAAGAAGGGATGAAGAGTGAACAAAGTTGTAAATAGGTGGCTAAATATGACTATTTTTCTTTCTTTTCTTAAACACTTTAAACATCAATACATAGTTTAAAGGGAAAATAATAGTATATTGTGATGTTGATAGCAAATGTAGAAGTAAACATATGTCAATAAAACCACAAAGGATGGAATGTAGGCTAAACAGAATTATACAATTATAATTATACATAATTATATATAACTGTAAGGCCCTTACAATTATATATAATTGCAAGGCCCTAAGGTTATATATAAAATGGTATAATGTCAATTTAAAGTAAATTTCAATGTCAAAGATGCATAAAAATAAACCAAAGTGGTATAGCCACAAAGCTAACAAAAGAGAGTATGGAACACTAAAATATAATAACAACAACAACAGCAGAAACACCAATCCTCATTTAAGAAGAGATGAGACAGAAAATGAGAAAAGAATAAATACAGAGGCAAAAAATAAAAAAGAAATTTCAAGATAGTGAACTTAAAACTTTCCCAATTGATAATTCATTAAAAGAAAACTGAGGGGCGCTTTCAAGATGGCAGAGAAGTAAGACGTGGAGATCACCTTCCTCCCCACAAATACAATGTGGAACAACTCTTACAGAACACCTACTGAACGCTGGCAGAACACCTCAGAGCTCCCAAAAGGCAAGAAACTCTCCACGTACATGGGTAGGGCAAAAGAAAAAAGAAAAAGCAGAGACAGAAGAATAGGGATGGTACCTGCATCTCTGGGAGGGAGCTGTGAAGGAGGAAAAGTTTCCACACACTAGGAAGCCCTTTCACTGGAGGAGACGGGGAAGCTTAGGAGCCACGGAGGAGAGCACAGCCACAGGGGTGCAGAGGGCAAAGCAGAGAGATTCCCATACAGAGGATCAGTGCCAACCAGCACTCAACAGCCCAAGAGGCTTGTCTGCTCACCCACCGGGGTGAGTGGGGGCTGGGAACTGAGGCTCAGGCTACGGAGGTTGGATCCCACGGAGAGGACTGGGGTTGGCTGCATAAACACAGCCTGAAGGGGGCTAGTGCACCACAGCTAGCCAGGAGGGAGACTGGGAAAAAGTCTGGACCTGGCTAAGAGGCAAGAGAACCTTGTTTCAGGGTGTACGAGGAGAGGAGATTCAGAGTACCGCCTAAACAAGCTCCAGAGATGGGCGGTAACCACAGCCATCAGCACGGACCCCAGAGACGGGCATTAAACACTAAGGCTGCTGTTGCAGCCACCAAGAAGCCTGTGTGCGAGCACAGGTCACTATCCACACCTCTCCTCCCGGGAGCCTGTGTAGCCCACCACTGCCAGGGTCCCGTGATCCAGGGACAACTTCCCTGGGAGAACACAGGGCTCGCCACAGGCTGTTGCAATGTCAGGCTAGCCTCTGCCACCGCAGGCTTGCCCCACATTTGGTATCCCTCCTTCCCCCTGGCCTGAGTGAGCCAGAGCCTCCTCATCCGTTGCTACTTTAACTCCGTCCTGTCTGAGCGAAGAACAGATGCCCTCAGGCGACCTACACGCAGAGGCCAGGACAAATCCAAAGCTGAACCCCTCGGAGCTGTGCAAACAAAGAAGAGAAAGGGAAATCTCACCCAGCAGCCTCAGGAGCAGCAGATTAAATCTCCATAATCAACCTGATGTACCCTGCATCTATGGAAAACATGAATAGACAATGAATCATCCCAAAATTGGGGTGGTGGACTTTGGGAGCAACTGTAGGCTTGGGGTTGCTTTCTGCATCTAATTTGTTTCTGGTTTTATGTTTATCTTAGTTTAGTATTTATAGCTTATTATCACTGGTAGATTTGTTTATTGATTTGATT